TTTAGGATAACGATGATGGATATAAAAGATTGTTACTCGTTTTACTTACTTTCGATCTGTAGTTTTCTTTGGAAATCAATGTGAAATCATGAGAATCTGATTCTCATAATATTCACAAAGCTTTGTAAAATTCTCCCACGTTTAAAACATAGAATATACAAAACCCATTTTTCAATGAAAATGTCAAATGTGAAACAACGTCGGCATATTATTTATATAGTGAACAACTGGTACAATTAATAATTGACCGGAGGTGTTATTAAAAGCTATTATTAACACATAAAAGGAAACAAAAAAAAAAACAAGTAAGAAAATTAAATTCGGTTAGGACCGAATCTCTTATACCCGTCACCGTTATCCTAAAAAGGACAAAAGCAGTAAAAGAACATAATTTTCATGCTGAATAATATGGAGTAGGCGCAGCCGATTTGTTTTATTCTCAAAATAAAAATTTCTGAAAGGCAATGTAAATAAAACTTCGCGGGAGCATGGTTTAACCTCGTCTTGTTTAGGTTCCGTCCGGAATTGTAAGTAGTCCGTGCAAAATAATTGAAGAGAAATAGAAAGAACTAAAAAAATTTTCAAAATTTTTTGTTGCCATAAATTGTAACCTATAGCTAATTAATATCGACTTAAAATTAGGTACAAATCTTTAGCAAGTCCTCCTCCAGGATAAGCACAAAAATGGTTCTCCTAGTTGGAAAAGTATAAAACCATCATATTAGTTTTATATATAGCTTGTATCATTTTTATACCCATCACTGTAAGATGGGGATATACTCATTTTGTTTTTTCTTGGAATATAGGCAACACTCAAAAGGATACTCGAAAGATTCCGTATTTTTAATCAGAGTGAAATTCTGAATTGATTTCGCCATCTCCGTCCGTCTGTATGCCTGTGTGGTGTGTATTGTTAGCACTCTCCTGGTCGCAAAAATGAAGATATCGACTTAAAATTTGGTAAAAACATTGGAAGTTTCTGCAGTCAGGTTGACATTGAAAAAAAGCAAAATTGATCGGCGCAAAAGCGCACAATGGGGCATAAACTGAACGCAACTCAGGTTTTTTCTAACAAAAATGCTTGAATTCTTGCTCGTTACTCGGAAATTATAAAAGTTAGAATGGTAAAATTTTCATTTTACAAAACAGTCTACTCTTTAGGTCCGAAATTGGAACCAATCGGCCATGCCCACACAAAGTTACAAGTAATTAAATTTCATTTTTTCAATTTTTTGAGGTTTGATGGCTACGCTTGCAGAAGGCGAACAAGGCAGAATGATTGAAATTACTCTCCTAAATTATACCTTCCCCTGCCCAAAAACGAGTGAATTCTTAAATGAATTTGGTAGACACCACGACCTGGTGGATTAATTATCTCTTAGCAAAACCAGCGATATGAGTATGAAATAAAGAGAACTTGGAGAGTAGAATGCGAAAAGCGTAGCGGTGGGTATGCGAAATTCGGCCACCGCCGAATATAACTTTCTTACTTGTTCATTATTCAGTGTGGTTGTTCGTTTATTTTGAAAATTTGAAAGCTTATCACAAAGTTAACGGCAATCTATTAAAAATTCAAAGTTTAGTTTCAGGCTCGCGTAGAATTTGCTTTGAAAGCAAATTATATGTAAACTAAATTATTGTTTATCTATTTTAGAGCATTGCATTAATCGATAAGCTTGAAAGCTTCGTATAGAAATGTGAAAAAGACATAAATAATCGTCTTAAGCATAAGCTCGAGCTCCGAATGGAATGTGGTTTTAGGAAACTATCTCATTGCACTAATCTGCAAGGATCTAATAAATTCTATTAATGTTTTACAGCACATGTGTTTTTAAAAGTAAATTAAATTGATGACTTGAATCATTGAGCAAAGACTTCGAACAGAATAGTATGCAGCAAGAAAAGCTCGAACTTTCCGTAAGATTAGATAGGCGAAATGTGGTACTTTTACTTATGATTAAGTTAATAATTTGATGAACAAAATTAGTATAAAAGAATTTTTTTGGTCTTTTTTTAGTACCTGCAGCGAAGTGTGTTAGGGAAGGAGGCAAATGGTTTTGTTGTGTCGTAATTAGAGACCAAATCCAGGTTTCTACGACATTTTATATTTTCGTTGTTTTCAATGGAATGATATTTAGAAGGATTTTTCAAAATGTTAACTTAACGATGTTGACGAAACCCTGAACCAAGTTTTCCACTACCCTAAATACTTTCGAAACGTGTCTATAAGTACTGAACTAGCTATCTTAAATTGTCAGTGTAAAATTCAATTTTCACTTTAACACATGTATGGGAAACGTGAAACACGTTTGCACAGACACAAAGATATTTGCAATAACAAGGACCCTTTTGTTGTTTGTACATTATGTGCATAAAGAATTTAATTTTTTTTTCCCCAGACGAAATTTTCTTTTCATTGGAGCACGGGTGTACACTTAACAGTTACAATGTATTAAGGAAGTTCATTAGCCGACAAGTTTTTTGCCATGTTTCAAAGAAAAATTTTCTTAAATTCATGACTTTCTTGAAACTGTTCACATTTTGTGAGCCACTAATTTATTAAATACGACTGCTGCGAAGTTGGAGTTGATTTTCTGAGAAGCTGTGGCTGAAAACAGACAGACATATGCGAATTTTCGCCTTTTTAAACACTAACATATTTGTCATCAACGCTCGCAATTAATTTCCAATTGTTTTCTAGCTAACTGCATCTTTACGACAAGCCAACTTAACCATTTCCGTAACCTCAGCTGCTTTTTTTTCCAGTTTAATTCAAATTAATGTAATTTTAAATCGTTTCGTTTATTTTATATTTTAGGAAATGTGTTCAACATGATATAAAAAATGAAGAGTTTAGGAGCAAATATTCTCCTCTAAAGTAATAGCGAGATTAGGGAAAAAGTATTAAAAAAAAAAATCCTTGTGAACTAAAAAAAAGCAAAGAAAACCAAATAAACGGAAAAAGCAATATTTATAGCAACTCTTTTATAGCTCTTTGATATGAGAGTACTGTGAGTTTCGACATTTTGTCCTAAAATTAATTCTTAACCTTAAAATTTTGTCATAAGCAAGTTTGAAGAAAGAAATCGCTGCTTGTAGTTTGGCAATAACGTGGGCGGGAAAAACGCCAGACCTGAGAATCGCAGTGTCATCGGAAATTTTTTTTATTTGCAGGAACTTGAGACAAGCGTTTGCGATAGGTGCTACCTACGCCAGTTTAAAAGAAAAAATAATGTAGCATCGTAAATGAGATCCAGTTCTTTACATTTATTGAACGATAACTTGTAAACAACCTACACAGTACAAGTATCAATCCCTCACTTCTTTACGCCCAAAACTTCGGAAAATATGAGTACGCCAAGCATTATTTTAGGAAGCAACTAATTTCAATTTGCAGAATTTAATTGTACACCAAATATATGTAAGATCTCGTCAGTCCTTATTTGTATGCCCTGAAGCATAAATACTCTAACAGCAATTTCAGTAGACACGCTGTAGGGAAAATATTTTGTAAAGAGTTCCTAGAAAAAATTCCAAAGCCTTTTTCTCGTTTGATTAAGTAGTTTTTCTTTGCCTCAAACATATCAGATAATTGTAAGATTGAAGATATCCTCAAGTGGTGTTTCTCAAGGAATAGTAATATATGAGCATCGAATGTGAATAAAGCGAGTCTGCTTAGAGAATTCGATTTCAAGAAATTGAAAGAATGCTTTCATTTGTATTAAAAATAAAATTTCAAGCAATCATTGCGGGTATGGCCAACATTTTACGCCTCATTGCTTACATCAATTAGCTTTGAAACTTGGTTGGTTTTCTTTTTTTTTCTAATTTTCTAGCTTTTCGACAGGAGGTGCATACATAATTGCAAAGTTTGTTTTGTTTGCTTGTACGAGATAGCGTTCACAGTTATTCGATAACTATAGCGCAGGGCACATCGATTGCATTTGCATCGTGCATCATGCCTCAACTGTTAAAATAAAATTTAGTTATACCTGTTGCAGAGCTTACATTACGTTGCTAAAGTAAAGGTTGTATAAAAAACATATCTTGCAGGGCGCATGGATTGTTATGGATTGAATCATCAAAATTAATACATAAATTAAAAGTTGCAATGAGGTGGACTTTTCTCCAGAAAGCCACTGGAAAAATAAAATGTTGTCTGACATCTAAACTTATAGTGCTACTTTGAAAGCAGTTGACCCGTTCCTTTGGTTCTGACTGGGAATGAAGATAAACTTACCCAAGTCGTTCGTATTTGGTAAAAACGATAAACGATGACGTCTTAAAATTGCAAACTTTCGCTACAAAAGACTGATAGCTTCGGAAACTTGAACAGCCGTCGAGTGAAGCAAAACGTCTGAAATCCAAACCTTTTTTAGCTTTTGGATTTACCAAGTTCTAAAAATTTACTGTTCGAAATTTAGTCATATATATTCTAAACATTAGATATATACTTCCGTTTGTGACATTTTGCTCTGTACGATAAAATAGTAGCTTAAGTTTTCTAAAAAATATTTAAAAGTTGGCAATATTTGTCTGGGTCTGGGTCAGTTTCAAAAAAATGTTCTCATCAATCAATTATCAAGCCTGTGATTAACAAAATGCATTAGAAGTGCTATCCATTGATTCGAGGACATCTGTACCAAAAATCAATGTGAATATAAAATTTTTCTTTGTTAGTTTAAGATATCATATAATATTCAGAAAAATATAATGTTTTTTTTGCTTTGTATAGCTGTTATGTAAATGAGTTTTTTAGTTAGCCGGCTATCTCAAGTTTACAGTGTGCATGAAATTCGGTTTCTTGCTACTTTAATTACCTACCTGTCTGTAACAATTAGAAGCTAAAAAAAAAACTCTAATTCAAACGATGTTCCTAAGTTTAGCACATCCATAATGGGTCGCTTCTTCTTGGTACGTGCACTGAAAGCTATGTTATGAGTTTGTTGTAGTATGATGGCTTAAAAGTTTCCATTGATTCAAGAGTTTACACATTTTTCCTTCTGAATATTTATATATTCGCATGCAAAATGGTTGTTTATTACAATACATCGTCTTTTGTTATGTTATGACTAGACTTAAACTAGAGGTTATAAATTAAAGGCTTATATATGTATGCATCTTCGTTTGAAAGTTCCAATTTTGTAAAATACTTTTTTAAGCACTTTTTTCGTTTATTATGTAGTTCATCAAGGATTACACTGCCGAGTCAGTGATACTCATCAGTCAGTTTCGGCTTCACCGATTAAGTTGTTTCTATTTACCAGCGTGATTTTCTAAAATATTCAATTTATTTTAAAACAGACATAAACTCTCTTTTTTTTGTAATATACACTTACACAACGTAATTTAAAAGATCATTAACTACAACAGGATAAGGCGGTTGGGACCATGACGAAGCGTGAGCATGGGCATGAGCGTAATCGTGAGCTTGGGCGAAGGCATTGGCTGACGCCGCGCCGCCTGTACTAGGATGAGGAGCGGCGCCTCCTGCTCCGCCGGCTCCTCCACTTCCTCCTGCCCCTACACAGCCACCTTTACCACCTTTTCCTCCTTTACCGCCTGTGGAACCATCGGCACCATCAGGTCCATCAAGACCGTCGGCTCCATCTGGCCCACAAGGACCAGATGCATAATTAGCACTAGCAACTGCAAAAACAGCTGCACCACCGGCCGCACCCGCAGCACCACCACCGCCTCCTGCACCGCCACCAGCTCCACCAGCACTTGCAAGACTTGCGCCACCATCAGCGCCAGCGCCGCCGGAAGCACCACTAAATCCAACACCACCCGCTCCGCCACCACCGCCACCACCACCTGCACCAGCCCCACCTAGACTTCCGGCTCCTCCAAATCCCCCGAGCCCACCAAGTCCACTAGCACTACCAGCGCCTCCACCACCACCACCGCCTCCTCCAGCTATTACGCCTAGGCCCCCAGAACCACCTAACCCACCCAGACCTCCAGCGCTACCTGCTTGCCCTGCACCTCCGCCAGCGCTAGCAGAAACACCAGCTCCTCCTCCAAGTCCGCTAGCCACGTCAGCACTACTAAAACTATTGTAAAAACTAAGGCCACCAAAACCATCGTATCCGCCACTGCTACCAGTACCGCCGCTAAAACCAGCACCGCTGCTACCAACTACACCGCCCTCATCGCCTGAACTTCCCTGACTGCTGCTAGCACCATTGCCAGCACCATTGCCAGCACCATCGGTAGCACCATCGGCAGCACCATCGGCAGCACCACTACCAGTTCCGCTGCTAGCACCGTTGCCAGCACCGTTGCCAGCACTTTTGCCAGCACCACTGTCAGCACCGCTGCCAGCACCATCGGCGGCATCATCAGCAGCACCATTACCAGCTCCGCTGCTAGCACCGCTGTCAGCACCGTTGCCAGCTCCGCTGCTAGCACCGCTGCCAGCACCGTTGCCAGCACCGCTGTCAGCATTCTCGTTAGCACCTTTACCAGCTCCATTGCCACTATTGTCGTCAGCTCCGTTGGCAGCACCAGCATTAGCAGCGCCTCCAGTAGCCCCTCCTAAGCCACCAGAAGCACCGGCGTCAGCCGCAGCAGCATTAACTCCCCCACCAAGTCCGTCGTTTCCAGTCCAACCCCCAAAATCATAAGCAATACCAGAACTTTCGCCATTCCCAGTGCCACCGCCGCCAGCCCCGTATGAACCTAGGCCGCCCGCAGCATCTACAACCACACTACCACCATAAGCGCCGGCATCGCCTGCGTCACTCCCAACAGAAACCCCGGCTGCTGCCAGGACATCATCTAATTTTTCTACATATTCTCCTTCTAATCCAATTTTTGGTTTATAAGAGCCATCATCGGCACCTACTGGTGGATTATATGACCCATCGTCACCATTCGTACCACCGCCAGAACCGCCAGAGGCAGCACCAGCACTAGCACCATGACCAGCAACGGACACTAGTACGCCTGGATGTTGCACGACCACGTAATGATGATGGGGATCATGATGGCCTCCCGGCAAACTTACCAAAGGTAGAAAACTTGCCTTGGTAACGGAACCGTGCAGAGCGATTACAACGGTTAATAATAAAACCTTGAAATAAAATTGAAAACACACACCAAAAAAAAAAAAATTAATAGTATAATATAAAAATTTTACAAAATCCAGCAGCAACTTATCACAACATACCGACAATGTCCTCATTTTTTTTAACACATTGAACTAATTTTTTTTTTAAATATATTTTCTTTTAGTGTATAACACACAAAACTTTTCGATTTTCTCCGCTTCACTTCAATGTTCTGTCGTGCACTCGGAGATCGATTTAACTATGATTTTTGCAATACAGTGTTAAGCAATTTATAGGAACCAAGGTTGACGTCGGATCACTTTATGTAGAATGTTTACAAATTAGTCTACAATGCAATACAATATTAATACAGATAAATGCATTGATATATGTGTTATTGAGTTAAATAGTGTATGGGGTCGATTGGTAGTGGGTTGTAAAGTGTTTACTTTAAGGTTCTTTAAACTCAATGCAGCCATCGTAAGGCTTTACTTGGTGTAAGTAAATCACGAAGTCACAATGATCGGTACTAGCGCGTCAGAGCAGATCTTAAAAAAGATTGGTAAGATTCAGGACGCTCCGAATCTCATTTCTACTTTGATTCATTCGCAAATTGACCGGAGTCATCACTGCGTGCATTGAAATGAATTTATGAATGATACGAGCTATCACTATGAAAACACTTATCGAATATTTATCTACAAATATATGTATTTATATGTATGCGTTCAGAGTAGCGTGTAATATTTCTTAACATTTATTGACAATTATTAAAAAAATTCTTTTTACATACATTTGTTGGTATTTTTCTCTTAAAACCACTTACTGTGTTCTAATTTTATATGCGAACACTCGTACTACGATTTATATTAACAGAAACAATATTTATTATATATATTGTAACGTTTCAGATAAGTTAATAAATTCCAATATTTGTAAAATTCTATGCATTGCAGCTAAACATGAACTTGAAATAAGCTCTTAACCAGTTTAAGATTAGTAAACCGCTTTTTTTTTCTTCTATTTCCTTATATATTCCTTGGCAGATCTAGTCGAAGTGGGTGAAGATTGAAAACTACATGAAGACTTTTTCTTAATTAACATAAGAAAAACTGTCTCGATTTGTCAATCGAGAAAGAAGAAAATAATTACCGTTCGTTTCATAATTAATTTTTTTTCTTTCTTTTACTTAGGTGTTTAGGTTTAGGTGTTTTAAAAATAATTTAATTAATTAGAAATTCATTTACCGTATGCATAAGTATTTGTAATGAGTGTATATAATATTTCTTGTTCTCTCTATTTACTTTTTTACAGCTGATCAATGGTTAACACTGATATGTGTAATACAGGTTTAACAAGTTCACTTGAATCATTTGTCTTATTAATCTTTTTTAGGTTAATTTGTATTGTTCTGCATTCGCGCTGTAAAATAAATATTTTATGGAATAATGACGTAATTAGATTATTTTTCTGGTTTCTTATTTATATCGTATAGAAATGTTTATTATTAAATTTATTTCAAAATTACGAGGGAATTGCGTGGCGACTATGTTGTGTCCATCAAGAAATCCATTATTGCCATTATAATTATCATTATTATTATTGTTATTTTTAATAACAAATACAATTTCTTGCTATAAAGTAAAATTAATGGTAAACTTTTATTATCCAGAAATATATATGCGCAGCTTACGCAGCAATTTGATAATCTAAGTAATTCAGTCGTTATTGTAACTTTCTTTCTTTTAGCTAAGCTTCAAGTAAGATGTATATGAATAACAAAAGTTTGAAAGTTTTCAACTTTTTTAAGTTTAGAATCTTTCGCGTTCTGTCGCAAGCAAACTTATCTTCCTATTAAGATCGATATTAACTACAACATCAGTTGCCCAAGGTTAACAAGATGGCATCGTTGTCCACCTTGTATTAAAATTTCAATTATCGCGCGTTATTCATACGTGATATGGATATTTATCAAACAATTATTATTGAATAATATTTCCAAGCGAATGGAAATATTTTAATCATTATTCTTGAATAATTCTCCAATCATTCTTTATTCTCCGGTTTGGATGATGTATTAAGGCAATTTGCTTCACAGATGCATGTTTGGAAAATTTTCAAAAAAAAAAAATGCTTATAGGGATAGGGATGGATATTCCATAAAATCCGTATTCTATGAAAAATTAAATATACATTGCTAAGCATCGTGTGTTTAGGATTTTTGCGTTCATTTGAAAACAATTTGGCTCTTATTTGACAATGTGCGTATACCAGTCGTTATTATTTTTGTCTGAAAGTCTGTTCTGTCATTTTTTTTTTTTTTTTTTTTTTTTAGATATCTTATGCTATTTCAAATGGCAAAATAATAAAACGATCGTCTTCTGTGCTTCGAAATCTGAATATTGCTGAACCAACTACAGGCATGGAGTTCTCTTAAGTTTTTATTCATCGTAAGTGAATTTGCGAACAAAATTGTGCTACGTTCTATCTTTTTCTGAAAAGTAAATTAACGCAGGGGGCTAACGATGACCAGGCGCGAGAATTAGGCATCTATATACTCCAAGGAGTCCCGAATTGTATGAACATAATAATAAGCAGAAGAGGAGCATTGCCTTTCACCAAACCTTTTTCGCTACCATTTGCCTAAATTGATATGGGGATACAATACACCAAATAAATAGTTATTCTTCTTTATTTGTCTAGGAGATAAATACCATTATGATCCATAACAAAAATATGTAACATGACAAGGTTGGGAGTAATGTTATCTACGCCTTAAAATGCTTGAAGCTAGGCTTATAACGACGAAATGCATAAACCCAGCGACAATCACGCTTAGCAACTATCAGTAAACTGTCGGTTACACTTCACATATTCACCTTTGCTCGCAAGACGGAATAAGTGACAATTTTCATTAAAAGTTTTATAGAGGACTTATGTAGGAGAATCCAGTTCATAGTCAGTCTTATATCGTGGTAGAGCCAAGGAAATGTAGTGCCTAGAAATTCTACACGCGACAATAAAGCCAAATTCCTGCAGTACGACTAATGAGTCTACTATGCATTTAATAAGCTTAGCCACCAGACTGTTCTCATAAGGAGGAAGTATTCTGTGTGCTCCTAATCCAAGCTCACAAACGATGATTAAGAAAAGTTGAATCTGAACAGATTTCAAAAACTGTACATAACCATTATAAGTTGGTTATCAAACAACTAAGATATACCCGATAATAGGGCTAACTCGAAATTTATATAAAACTTCTTGTGGGATTTAAGGATCATAAAGATCCTTAGTCCACCTAAATTATTAATCACCGAGTGCACTTGAATGCCAATTTACTGTCGACGATGACCTCGATTTATTGGGAAATCTTTTTACAAGGTAAAGCTAAGAAATTTATATAAACATTTCACGTTTGCAACAAAAGCAGCATACAGATAGGCAATGGCGCATACAGTCAGGCAATTGTAAGAACTAAAAGCTATTCAGTATGTAGTTGTTATGATTGTAGAGTAATTTTTGGCTAAAGTTGATTGATCAACTGCTAAGCTATTCATAAGGTTTTTGAGAGTTTCAGCTGGATTTTCGTCTGATATGTCTTGCAATTCCTTGTTTTCAACCTTTTTGGTCCTGCAGGTCGTTCTTTGTTATTGACATCAAAATCATTACTTTTAAACCGTTCAAACCAAAACCGATCATGGGGATGTGATGGCAGTAAATTTCTTTAAATGAAGCAACAAAATTATTGAATGTCAACAATGCGATTTTGACGTTTCCATGAATAGCGTCTGTATATGTTGAATAACTCGACATTACTGAATGGGATGCTGTTTTTTTATTTTGTAGGGAAAGATGGAATTCATCGAATTTAATCGTTCCGTACATTGATACTTTGCATTACCATATTATTTTCACCAATAAATGTTGCTGATCAAAATACATGCAAGCACCCATCGGTAAGACCCTGTGTACTATAGATGTTTTTCGTATCTTCAACACCTATACGTATAGATAGTTACACTCTTGGAAAATTTAAAAAAAAAAGCCTTTATGTGCAGCCTTGTGCAGAGTAAGTGTAAGTGTAACAAATTTATTTCAATATAATTATTTCAATATTTTCTCTTTGACAATTTCTCCCAAAACGTGCATGTGTAAATATATAAATAAATATGCGCAAAAATTTAGATGCATATCATAATTGCGTAAAATCATATTCAGGCAAAATGAATTACAGTTTATCGGAAAGTTATTTACTCTGGTTTAAATTACGAACTCTTTGAATATTATTTATGGGCGGTAACAGCATTAATGTATGCTTACATTCGCAAACACGTTTATCCATTTGCATGTTTATTTATGCAAATGCGAAGTTCGATAGGAATTTCAATTATTTCAACCAGCTTTAATGGTGAAGAATGTTTTATGGAAATTTGAAAGTTATGTTAACATGACAGGAAAACTTCAAAATCCTATACTAAAGCGAATTGTCATTGCAATCATGTCGTGCTAAACTAAACTAGTTTTTCGATCTCTTATCATAAAATTGTTCTCCTGAAATTCAAATTATTATATAACAAAAAAAAAAAAAATGTAAAAAGTGTAATATCTTATGACGAATATAACAGCATAGGGTATTTAACGAGCAATGGTTGGCTTCATTCGTGTTCGAATGTTTTACGTATTTTTAGAATATAATTGAAATGAGTGGGGAAAAATTCATTTAAAACAAATTGTTTGATTTATATGAAATAATTTTTTCTCTAATTATGTGGTCCTATCTATATACATTTGATTTGTAGGTAAATGCACAGATATATAAACGTAATTGTACGCGTGTGGTTTCAATGTGCTTATGAAAGCAACCGCAATTGCACTTGTTTCTTGCCACTTGTTATTATGAATACATTCCCCTGTCAATCGATATGTGTTTGTCTATCGGTAAAATCATATTTAATGACTTTAACCGCACGCTGTCTTTTTCTTTTGTTTTTATATCCAAACTTTAACCTGCTTAGAAATTATAACTTATTTATCTAAATTGTACAACAGAAGTGTTTCTTATCTAATTAAGTGCATAAAAAAAGTATATAAAAAAAATTAATTTATTAGCATAGAAAACCAAAGAAAACAAGTAAGAAATTGATATTCGATTGCAACCGAACCTTTTATACCCACCATTGGTCATCCTATAGAATATTCAAAAAAGCAATAATATAAACTTGTATATTTTCGAATATTGTGTGTGTGTGTGGGGGGCGTGGCTG